TCCAGGTTAGGGATCTAGTTCAGTGTCATTGGGCAAAAAGGGTGAAAAATCAATATTTAAGCACCAGCTTGACCTCTCGAGACTGATTCGAAAGCTGTATCTCTCCTTCACCCTTAAATACGACGTAGTGGACATGTCTGGTCAGCAGCAGACCAAAGCCAACATTGTGACTCATTTCGAACCGCCATACACGAATCAGAAACAAACTATTTTTATGTTTCATTGCAAACGTGTTGTTCCCTGTCTTTTAAAATTTCAAATTTATAAAACAGAATTGAAAAATCTGTATGAGAAGTTATTATTACACTTTTAAAGAAAAATTGCACTAAACTTCAAGCGCTGTGGAATTATCAAATTTTGCATCCTCAGTAAGTTAATACATTTTTATCGAAATGTTCTTTTTTTAAATGAGAATCCAAAAAGCAAATGCAATAACCTACCAATTGTTACCACTACTCACGAATAAACACGTACTAATGGAAGTAAAAAGACAACTAATCAACAGCATATTCCCTCCAATACTGTTGCACTAATTCCAGACGTGGTAGCTAAACAATACACAGAAAAAGGAAGATCATTGCCTATGGGACAAAATGTCTCACAAAATCAATAACAGTCGCAAGGAAAGGCTGCCTAAGAAACGAAACTATCAGCAGATCGAGCATATGGAAAATCAAAGAATTTAGTGGTTCGGTCATTGGGTGAGAACGCCCCCTTCCCACATTCCTCCACACAAAAATCAACCAGCTGCACGAACACACATTCAACAGAGAATCAAGCTGTAAAGGCTGGGGCACACCACGAAAAACTTGGCTGGGTTGCGTCAAAGGGTTCCTCCAACTCTAACAGAATAACATACTATCTACAACAGAAAGCTGCCCATCCAACCTTTGACCGATGATCGCGCCTCATCCCTATTCTAAAGATATAAAAGGAAGGAACAAGTAACATTTAAAAAGTACCTAGCTACGTAGATCTATCTGCGTGTTTCTACAGGTGTGAGAAAATTATAGCCAAAATATGCAGGTGGCAGACAGACAGACTGAAAATGCGCTCTCTTCTTCTCTAATCCATTTTGTGTCGGTCAACAAAGTATTGGAGGAAGCCTTCCTTCAAGTTATGAATATTTAATTACTGCCTCATCAATGTTATCGCTCCTACAATTGCCCTAGATACCGACATATTTGTTGTAGGATTACCCTGTAGGATTTTTGTATCTTAAAGATGGCGTATTCTATTCAATAGGATTCCCTCTCCGTCTTGCCGTCAACTGATACAATTTCTAGTTTAGTGTTAAAAGATTGACATATTTGTGTTCTTTAAGTGGGTAACCCCCCCCCCCCCCCAACAATATTTTACTATTGCCTCTATTGAAAAACTGCAATAGCCCATATCTATAGCAACTGTTGAACTCCCATACTTTTACTTTCACTTTTGTCACAAAACATCTGTACAGTGGCATCACATCATACTCTACCATTTCACTCCGGATTCTGTTCACATTTCGTTACCGTTGTACGACATGGTACATAGTGGGTATCTCGTAGTTTTTCTACTCTTGGTCTGCGACAAATTGCGTTTCAGAGGAATTCCCAGTGTTTACTTAACATCATAATGCCAAATTGAATATTATGGAACTGGAAATTAGGGTCTTTAATTTCTATCCTACTCCTTCCTGTGTCATTTCCCATCCTTTAAAAAGTCCACACAATATTGAAGATACAATATTTCCACTAAGGTCACAGTGTGATGCTTTTTGCCACGTAAATTAGAGTACAGAACTGGATTTTCTTTTTCTATGATGCAATGTGTTAGCAATGATACGCTTCTTGTCATTGTAAGGGGTATCTAAAAGTTGTGTTGCTATGGTGATACTGAGCTGTTAGCTTAGCCGTTATTATGCTGGGCAACAATGTGGATTTTCTTGGTTCCAGTCTCCAGTGGGGCGTTCTTGAACTTTTATTTGTTCCATTCTGTTCTATTTTCATGTATTCAATCATTTTTCTTCTTTTTCGGGTGGGGGGGGGGGGGGGTAAGGGCGTTTAGCTGAGGTGGGCGAGGGGAGGCGGAGGTGTGGTTAAGAGTTTATATCCATTGAACTTCGGAAATGGACATTTAGCCTCTTGCATAATCTTTCTGTGTTGAGAAGAACCCATGCATCACCAACGTCTTAACGTCCAGCAGCATAACAATCTAACCCTTTCTATACTGCTTGAGCTCCTGTTACGATTACCTTTATGGACTCCCATTAGTTTGTTGTTTTATTGTTGTTGTTGTTTGTGTTTTTTTGTGGGTTTTTTTTGGGGTGGGGGTCTTGTTACTTTTCTTTGATAACACCAACAGGTGGAGACAATGTGTCTTTTGTTAGTTTCTTACAACGAACACAGTTATCACTATTTGACGCAACTAATGTTGAATCTGATTCATCACTCAAGTCTTATGTTCCCTGATGACTTTATTGGCTTGGAAAATGCTTAGACTCAATGCTGTAACATTTTGGAATAATATGGGCGTTTTTTTGGTGATCTGATTTCCAAAAGACTAAAGCTCTAAATATTAATTCGTTTCCTCCTTGCGAACTATGCGGTATTTCAGAGAGAGAATAACTATTTATTAAGTGATAGTATTTTCTTTCTTTCTTGATGCGAAGAACTTCTAGTTAAGCCAACTTCTGGTTTTTAAAAGGCTACACAGTAATTTATGTTGCCGTTCTGATCTCTCCCTCTAATGACGTTTTTTCTGTTCTTCCCCCCC